GGCTGATCCAGCAAACAAATGAACCTCAGACACATTGGTAAGAGAAAAAAGACCAAATAATAATTATAAATGAATGGGAAATTTACATGGTTATAAATTCAAGAGTAAATGAGACAAAGTAGCAGATTATTTCTGGAGCTAAGAATGGTACAGGAGCTTGGGGTTCTAGAGGATGAAGAAAGGGTCTCACATAAGAAGGGGATGGTTTCTTGTGACATAACCCGGCCTCTGGATGAACTTTACCTTAAGCTGAGAAAACTAGCTTGGCCTTGTTCCTTTTGTCATGGGTAAGATTACCTAAAGGGCAGGCCTTGGTAAATAGTCAAAAGAAATGTATTCCTTGCCTTCATTTCCTCCCTTTCACAGTAATAGGATCTGCCCTGCCTCGTACCAGGCTGGCCCTTTGTATAAGCAGTCTGTGTATACCATTAAAAGTGAAGACACTGTCCTTTTATTTTTCAGTTTGGTGTCAATGCAAAGAGAAAAGCAGCATTTTCTTTTTTATACAAAGACTATCTGTTAACACGAAGTGGTTTAGGAGATGTGAGTCAGCTTTCTGAATAATTGTGAATTACAATATTTATTTGACATCCAGAATACCATGCTAATAATGTTTTTTTCCAGTAGTTTGATTGAGGTATTGTGTTTGGGAGCTGGAAGCAGAAGCCACCACCGTCAAGGCCATGTACATCAGCAGCTGTGTGCTTGAAGCTGACCATGTACCGGAGTGCAGCAGGGCTAGGGCAGGCCTTGCCCACCCTGGAGTTGGGGCTGTCAGTGAGTGTTGCCATATATGGTGATCTCAGGTTGTAGCTTGTTCCCTTAAATATAATTGAGTGCTGCACTAGCACTCAATTATTAGGCTAAGATCTGGCCCACACACTTCAGGAATATTTATGAAATGTTAATATAAGCTAAGTAAAAGTCTTTGAACATAGATGTAATGAGTAGATGAGCTAAGCAGACTGAGAAAAGTAGGGATTGGCAGGCCCTTCCTGGTGGCGCAGTGGGTTAAAGCACAACACTATGAAGCTGTCTGTAGCCACTGCAACGAAAGTTCGATTTCCAGCCCAGGAGGTGACCCACAAAGTGCGCAGACCTCTCCTGTCTCACTTGCTGCTCTTCTGAGCAGTGTACTCCTGAGCAGTGTACTCACTCAGTCTGCCTGTTCTGCTCTCCACTCTGTCTCTGGTGAATTCTCTCGCCTCCCCCCTCTCCCCATACACCTCTGGCTTGTATCCCAGTTCTTGTATGCATAAATAAATAAATCTTCCAAAAAAAAAAAATAGTAGGGATTGGCCAAGACAGACATGACAGCTAATGGGAAACAAAGTTCTACACAGACATTGTAAGTGTGAAGAACTCTTGCCTCAGGTGCTTGATTGATGAAAAGCCGTCAGTTTTGCTACCCAAAGGATTTGGGTTAACATTCTAGCTCTGCTGTTTATGAGTCACATAAACTTGAAACAGACTACCTTCCTTCGGTTCTTTTACTTACACACTGTGAAGCATTATGGGCGCCGGTGGCGGTTGGCACATGGGAGGTAGAACAGCAGGTCGAGTCTAGAGGAGGAGTCAGTGAGTGCAGTGGGCTTGTGGTACGCCCTTTCTTCTTCCCAGTTTCTAGTATTGTGGCCATGGGCAGGCCAACCTGGCTTAGTGTGGTATTTGCCAGCCCTGTCAGGATGAATTTTGAAACACTACCTTATATGTTTTTCACTGATAGGAAAAGGTTATCAAGGCATAGAGATAATGTGATTACTCACTTTTGTTGTATTGAGACATTGTTATTGCCTGCATGGAGTACTTATATAAAGAGAGATGTTTACACTGACTCTGACTACCTCGTGGAAGGAAGCATTATTAACAGCACATTGGCTAAGGTAATCCTGAAACAAATATTGTACAATTGAGACCACATGCCCCTGGGAATATATCTTGCAGTGGACTGTTGCTAAGGAAGGAATTAATGGGCAAGTGGATAGACTGGTAGGTGCTAGGGTGACTGGTACTTTTGTAACAATTTCATTTCCGTTTCCCATTGATTCATCTCTACTCATATGTTGTCTTTGATGACGACATCTTTGATTATGTGTAACTGTCTTTTATTTCTGACTGATTCTTGCAGGCCTGGAAGTTTCTTGATTCTTGGAGCCTAAGTTATTTGTCTTTCTCCAATTTTGGGGGGAGTTTTATAATGTTCTAAAGTTCTGTAATGTACATTGCCACTAAATCATGCTATAAGAAAACTGGCAGTCAGCATATAGTCTAAATTCGATGTTTTAAGTCTTGAAAAACTTAAGTGCATCTCTCATTATAATTAGGTACAAAATACTTGCATTAAAGAAAGTTTCTTGCATGGTACCTGAGTCTGGACAAGCGTTTATAACATAGCTAAATGCTGGGGGCTTGAGAATGACTTTTCAGAACCTCTTGTATGCTTTTAGTGTTTTGTGGCCTAACTTGAAAAGGTACCGGACATTTGAATCCTTCTATTGAAAGGCTTTTCTTTTTATGTTAGAACAGGAACCATTTTTAAAAGTGTCTACAAAATGCCTTGTTGTAACACTAATGGCAGGTGACATCACAGTCGAAGCAAGTCACACACTATACCTACCTCCAAGGAGGATTGAAAACAGCAGTAATGTTAAGTTTCTTTAAGCCAAGAGCCAGCAAAAGGACCTAGTAATTCTGTGGTCCTCATATACTTGTCCTCATATTCTGTCTGTCCACCATAAGCAAAATAACTTAGCCTCATAAGGGCAGTCACCAAATGACCATTCAGCCTCATGCTCCAAGCTAGTATCAGTATCTCTGGGTGATGTGCTCGAATCTCTTCATCGGGTCTAGAAGTACATCTCCTGCTCCACAGACTTTGTGATTTCAAAAGACCAGTAATGTCTTTTCCAACCCCTGCCTTCCTTTCACCGGGGAAAAGTGGGAAGGATAACTGCTCAGACCACTTCCTTTTCAGAAAGGCGAGGAATAGGAGCTATACAGCAGTAAAAAAGGGGTGGCTATTGTGAAATCCCACCAAACAGGCTCCAGCTTCGGTTGGAGAATGTTCCTTAATTATGCCCAGATTCTGCTCTCTGGGAGAGACCCACCAAACCATTGTTCTTCACGCACATTTGGTTCCATGCTTTTGGAGTTTCTTCCCTTTCTGGCAACTTCTTTGGCTAACCTCGAAGTGGGCACTGGAGACATATGCTGTTCTTGGGACCTAAGCAGTTTTCTCTGTAACTTTCCATGTGTAGAGCTGTTGTAGAAATAATCACCAGGTTGGTGATTATTTTGGCAGTATAATTCTCAAAAATCTTATTGGTGTCTTTATTTGATTCTAGTCAGTTTCATGTGTCAATAACCAGCTCTTCAATTTTGCTAGATAAAAATTCTTGGATTTTCTCCATCTCTCCTTTGTTTCAACCCTGTATGTGCCCACTCCCTCCTTATCTGTTTGAGAATACCTTGCCTTTATCAGACTTCAGTTGGAGACCTACACTCTTTGTCTCTTTTTTCCTGAATCATTTTACACTCAGTGAAAGAATTTACTGAGTGCCAGTTTAATCCAGTCTGCAGTTTTAATATCAGGTGTGACAGTTATCCCCTTGATTTGATCCTCACCCTAGCTTGAGTTTCAATTACCTGTGGTCTTTCAAAAGCCATCTCTGATTTATTTTTAACTGTTTGGAGATGAGAAGTAGCTACTTCTTCCAGTCTTGAATTTGAACTCTATTTTCTTACATTCCTGCTCACAAGCCAACCAGTTCTTTTCTGATATTTCTTGCTTGGGTTTTTTTTCTTTATCTTACTCAGTTATTATTTTGTTCATCTCATTCCTTGGCTTTCAGTTTTTCCTTTTGCTTTAACATATAATCTTGCTTTTCATCTGTTTTGTAGAGGTCATGTGTCCTTGTGCTCCGTGAACTGTGCCAGACTATTTTTAAACTTTTCTTTTGGATCTTTCACTATGTCCAGTAAATTCTGAGTACTTCAGAGCCTGTTCCTTTCTTGAGATCTCTTTTTTTTTTTTTTTAATTTTTTTCTCCTCTACCTTATATTTGTTTAAAAAAATTGGCCAGTTATGTTTTCTATCTACACATAGGTTCTTTTCACCATCTGCTCACACTGGGGTTCATCCCCCTTCTCAGATCTCCAGCCCAAGGCAGGTCCATTAACACATCTCAGTACAAATCTCCATTCTAGAAAGTTTTTGCTTAGATTAAATCTTGACTTTTCCTCTTTGTTGGATTTTTCTGGGTTGGTAGACTATATAAAAATAAAAACATGGAGCCTCTACTGCCACCAAGATCTTTCTTGCTTTGGCTGACATTTGCATTGCTTTGCATATCATGTAGGACTGTCCTCAGAATGTCATGGATTGTCCCAAGGGCCCTTCAGCTTCCTTCCCAGTTGTTTTTAAGGAGTTGTTACCCTGACAGAATATAGAAAGGTGGGAGAAAGAGGTGGAGGAAGGGTGTGTGTGTGTATGTATCAGTGTACAACATTCTGTAACCCAAAGAGCTGCGTTGATGCTGTAATTACAGTTGGCTGTAATTTACGTAAAGGGAATAGCCCTCGAGTGTCTAAATCAGGTAATCAGTACTAGAAGGTGGTCTTCTTCTTCTTTTTTTTTTCTTTACGTAACCTCATTTATAGGTTAGGCTAGTTATGGAATGACAAGAAACATGGACAGGCCTTTTTTTTTCTTCCTCTTCCTTTCCCTGAAGCAGTGTCTGATACAAATAAGTGAGATCCTTCCAGATTGCACTGACTCTGATTTTACATGTAGTGACTTCTTGTATGATTCCAGGCACACATTGCAAACTTGAAGCCCACGGGCCTTTGTTCTTAGCTTCGTCTCCTGACACCTAGACAAGGCTTTTGTTCTGAAGTCAGTAATAGAATTCCTAAAAGTAATTTTTAAGATGTCTTTACTTTGGCTTTTTAGGTCTTACAGTTTGATTGGAATTTGACATTTTACTCTGTTTCTATTCCAGATCGCAGTAGCAGCAGCAGCAGCAATGTTTCACTTCTTCAGAAAGCCTCCGGAATCGAAAAAGCCAGCCATACCAGAGAGAGAAGCAGATGGATTTGTCCTATTAGGTGAGTCTTTTCAAGAAACAAAATCACACTTAGATGACACATTTTAAGTTTGCTTGCTAATTACATGATTGATTTTGAAAATATCTTACTATTTTCAGAATTAATCTATGTATGTGAAACCTATACACATAAAATCCTCAGTCATTTTGAATATTGTCATCAAGTGGGACTTTATAATTTGGTTTTGTTGTGTCCTTCACATTAAATTTGTAAGTCATTCTTTTTTTTTTTTTTTTCCTACCTGATAAGCTAATATTTTCAATTGGGGAAAACTAAAAAATCTTGAATCCTTGATCAATTCAAGTTCTGTTTACAACTAGCACTAACTTTGCTTCGTAAATTAGCATCCGAAACTATAGTAAGCTTTGTTAAATATTTGTGGAATGGAGTATACTTTTAAATGTAAATGTTTAAAGGTCTCCTAAGTGTTTAAGACTTTTTTTTTATTATAAAAGTAGACATGCTAGTTATTAAGAGTTCAGTAGTTAAAAGAAATAATTCTTTCAACTAAAGCTGACTCTGTTCCCAAAGGGATTTCTGAAAACTTAACATTCCCTCCATGTCATAATACCTCTTCATAAGGAAGAAATTTGCATTTTTTTTTTTTAGTATAGATCTTCCCAGAGGGTGGTGAGGAGGAATCAAAACCCAGTATCATCTTGCGGGATAGCATTTTCTTCCACTCTGGACCTCCTCCTGCCAATTTGAGGCTCCTTCTCTGAGATGATTTGCAATAACTCATGGGCCTTCTGAGGTGCCTCCTTCCAGATTTCCCTTCACAACTGTTTGCTGCCCTATCTGAACCCTGTCAGACTTAGGTCCTCTCACCTGAGCAAATGTTCCATGTGCCTTGAGAAGCAAAGGATGGCTCTGTTAGGATTGAAAGGGTGCTTGAATTTTTATCTGAGGCCCTCTCAGAGTCAGGGCTCACATTATGTGCCTGACCCCACACACTCAGAAGTATAGGTGGGTGGGTCTTTAACTCTTCACACTTTGTCTCTTTAGGGTCTAAGAGGACACAGAAATTTTACCTCTTAGATCCTCTTCCATTCTTGGTCTTTATCTTTGGGAGACTTGAATAGCGTTTCTTCACAGCTATAAATAGCCTTAGAATATGCCATCTTTTCCACAGCCACGTTCTGGCAGACCTTTGTATTTTTCTTAATCAACTTCATGTGGCCTGGTAAAGGGACAGTAGCTAGGATGGTTAGAATTGTTTTCTCTTTGGCAAGATCTTTATATCTTAGGCATAATAGTGGGTCATAGTTTCCAACTATGGCCAGTGGTTTTCTAGAGAGCCTTTTGACTAGAGTAAGGTGGGGTGCTAGTCATGTGGCCCTTTTACTATATCGGGAATGTGTGTGTGGGCTTCTGTCACATCATAATTTATAATATATATTTGGGCCATTCCAATGATAAAAATATATTATTTCCCACATATATTTGGGTTTCATAGTTCCTGGTTCATAGCTTCTCAAATCCTTGGAATTTCCTAAGTGTTGAAGGTGATAAAGGCAGCTCCTGTTTTTTTTAATGATTGACTTTTTGGGAAGTTCCTGGAGACCAAATTTGTGATATAGGGTGGGAACTTCAGCCCCAACTCAACCCTGCAGGGAGAGGAGAGGGACTGGAGGTTGAGCTCAATTGCCAACGGCGGGTAATTAGTCACTGTTGCCTGTGTAATGAAGCCTATGTAGAAACCCCCAAAGAAGAGCCAAATAGAGCTTCAGGGTTGTGAACTGATGTATATGTAGGGAGAAAGGTAGGCCTGAAGAGGACATGGAAGCTCCTGGTCCTCTCTCATACCTTATTCTTGTGGCCCTTCACACACACACACACACACACACACACACACACACACACACACACACACACACACACATATTTGAGTCATTCTTCTCTCTGGCTGTTCCTGAGTTTTATTCCTTGCAGTAAACTATTGATCTAGTAAGTAAATGGGTTTCCAGAGTTCTATGAGCAGTTCTAGTAAACTCATGAAATCTGAGGAAGGAGTGGTGGGAACCTCTGACTTATAGCCAGTATGTCAGAAGCACAGGGAACAGCCTGGGTTTGGGACTGGCGTCTAAAGTAGTGTGACCTTGGAAGACTGAGTTCTTAACCTTGGAATCTGATGTAGTTTCTGGGTAGATAATGTCAGAATGGAGGTAACTTCTCGTACTGAGAAGTGCTTGTTGTGGGACGCCTACATGCACTCATGTGGAAACTGGTCTCAGGACACCCCAGTTCAGTTTCCAATTTCCAATTCTAAATGGAATGTGGGGAACCCCTATTTTTTGGTTCCTCAAAAGCTGCCAGTGTTACTTTCCTTCTCATCTTCTAAATTAGCATCATTAACTGACAAACGTCAGGGATGCCTCTGGTCTCCTGTGAAGTTCTGCATTTGTAGAAGTTTCACAATAACTTTTTCTCTCAGAAAATGTGTTTGGTATTTTACATGGCTGCAGTCTGAACACAAATGAAGGGGACTCTGCTCTTTTCTGTCTTTTCCATAATTAGAAATCAGCATGACTCTTTTTGGTATCAAACAGCCATTTAGAAGATGTGAGGTTAGTCCACTGGCAATTTTGAGGACTCATACAGTTTCTAATGTTACACCTTAAAAACAGCACTTTTCATATCTTCATCACTTCCCTAGCTAGCTAGGCTAGCCCTGTGGCCTGCCACTTTGCAGCACTGTAGACACAAGTTTTAACTGCAATTGAAATAGCCTGTGGTGCTGCTCTTTCTAAAATCCCCTCTGATATTTGGTAACTTGTGGCATGTAGTTATTCCACTGCCTGTCTTACAGTTATCTCAATAGGGGCCCAGTCTCCAGAATGTTCTTCCTCAGCAGGTGAAGCTTACTGCTGTGAGTCTTTCTTCTTTAGACTCTGGTTTAAGAAGTAGTCTTTAATCGAACCTCAGAAGCCACAGAAACTTCCACATTTGCTATTTCATTAGGGAATTTCCAGGACTTAATTACTCTAATATGCTCTCATCTACCAGCTGCTTCATCAGTATTTCTAAACTCTAGCGGCATATTTCCCAGAGACTGATGCGCTGTAAGTTGAGGGTGTTTTCCTAGTACTATCTTGGACTGAGCTGGATTTGTGCCCCCCGTACCTTATGTCTAGCAGTTGAGCTGTCAGGGTGAGGAACCCATTCCAGGGTAGTGATTTCACTTAAGTGCAGCTGGTGCCCCATCCTCATTAAGAAGGTTCAAGCAAACACTTCCCCCAATATCAGCACAAGCCTCCTCATCCGTCAGCCCCATAATCTGCTGATGCTCGACTCAGTTCAGCCCTGTTTCCTGCAGGTGCAAAAACCTCTACCTTTTCACCCATTTTTCACAAAAAAATCCCTGCACGGCTACTGTTCTGTGGGCTTTGCCACTCTGCTGAACATTACTCGAGGTTTTGATATCAGTTTATATCATGTCCTGCTCTCACCTTCCTCCATCATCTTTCTCTTGTCATGAGTTACACCATCTCTCTTCTCATGCACTCCCGACAGGCACTGGAGCATATCCTTTGGTATGGATCCTGGCTCCACAGCTTACTAGAGTTTCCCTTTTGGGAAGACAGAAATTTCCCTTTTCCCTCTTAGAGTGTCTGCTTGGATCTGAAAATTAAATGCGTATAAGACAGAAAAACGAAAAATTATACTGATGTTTACGTTTCCAGCAGGAGCCCCTGTAGAAAAATGAAGACATAAAAGAACTGACAAAATCCAAGGGCTTGTATGGCCCTCCCTGATGGTGCAATGGGTTAGGATGCAGCACTGCAAGCTGGCCACAGCCGCTTCAGTGCGAGTTCGATCCCCAGCCCTGGAGTTGATCCATATGGTGGGGACCTCTCCTGACCCACTGCTGCCCCTTTGATTTGCCTGTTCTGCTTCCCAGCCTGTCTCTGGTGAATCCTCTCACCACCCCTGAACCTCTGGCCTGTACTCCAATTCTGTATGTATAAATAAATAAACTTTAAAAAAAAAATCAGAGTTCTATGCTGGAAAGATTAAATGTTTTAAAAAAATAACCCATGGCCCTCCCTGGTGGCGCAGTGGGTTAAAGCACAGCACTGAAAAGCTAAAGCCACTTCCGCATGAGTTCGATTCCCGCCTGCTCCGGAGGTGACCACATGGTGCAGCAGACCTCTCCTGACCTGCCCGCTGCTTCCCTCAGCAGTGTACTTCGTCGATCTGCCTGTTCTGCTCCCCACTCTGTCTCTGGTGAAGCCTCTTGCCGCCCCTGAGCCTCTGGCCTGTACCCCAGTTCTGTATGAACAAATAAATAAATCTTTTAAAAAATATAATCCAAAGGCTAAGGGCTTATATTGATGGGAAAGTAACTAAAACATATGGGGAGCTTAAAGGAAGATGGGAGTTGTTTTCACAGGGTCTGCTTGTGCCAAATTCCCTTGGCTTCAGAGCTTTATCTCTTGTGATCAGTATGTGTCTTCTCCTGCTATGGGGTGGGGGGACATCTTCCCAAGAGGGTTTTATCTCCTCAGAAAGAAAAGGGACCATCAGAATGCTCTTCTTTATTCCTGCTGTTTTTCAAGTGTCATTAGCTCAATTCTTATGCCAATTGTGGGGAGAGGGAGAGATTTATCTGTCACCCTTCAATATTTGGGGCAAGTTATAGTACCTCCTGGGTGTCCTTTAGCTTATCCAGTAAATGAGTCTGCTAACTACTTACCCCCTGGGTTTAAAGAAAGAATTGAATGAGTTAATGTGTGAAGTGCTTAGAACACCCTGTAGTGAGGTGGTAGTATATCTCCACCTACAGGTGAGGACTTAACTTTTTCAAGTTCTTGCCTAGGGATCTGAACTTAGGCCAGGCCATCTGACATCAGAACCTACCCTCTGAACCACTAATTTATCTTTTTTCAAATATCACATCATTATTTAAGAGTTTTGGCCATTAGTGACATTTTAAGTTAATTAAAAATATTGTGTTCTCTAAAAGAGAAAATACTGCCTGTTTTAATAAAGGAGAGTAG